CAAGCTCTGGTTGTCTCCGAAGCTCAAGGACTGCAAGCTGCCGCAAGGCCACATTCTCCAAGCTCTGGTTGAAACAGTCTCCGAAGCTCAAGGACTGCAAGCTGCCAGGCAAGGTCACATTCTCCAAACTCTGGTTGAAATGGCCTCCGAAGCTCAAGGACTGCAAGCTGCCGGGCAAGGCCACATTCTCCAAGCTCTGGTTAAAAAAACACCCGAAGCTCACGGACTGCAAGCTGCAGGGCCAACCCACATTCTCCAAGCTCTGGTTGAAATAATGTCCGAAGCTCAAGGACTGCAAGCTGCCAGGCAAGGCCACATTCTCCAAGCTCTGGTTGAAAGCGCGACCGAAGCTCAAGGACTGCAAACTGCCAGGCAAGGTCACATTCTGAAAGCTCTGGTTGAAACCGCCTCCGAAGCTCAAGGACTGCAAGCTGCTGGGCAAGGCCACATTCTCCAAGCTCTGGTTGAAATCGCACCCGAAGCTCAAGGACTGCAAGCTGCCAGACAAGATCACATTCTCCAAGCTCTGGTTGAAAGCGCCTCCGAAGCTCAAGGACTGCAAGCTGCCGGGTAAGGCCACATTCTCCAAGCTCTGGTCGAAAAACAATGCGAAGCTCAAGGACTGCAAGCTGCCTGGCAAGGCCACATTCTCTAAGCTCTGGTTGAAAGCATATCCGAAGCTCAAGGACAGCAAGCTGCCGGGTAAGGCCACATTCTCCAAGCTCTGGTTGAAAGCGCGACCGAAGCTCAAGGACTGCAAGCTGCCGGGCAAGGCCACATTCTCCAAGCTCTGGTTGAAAGCATATCCGAAGCTCAAGGACTGCAAGCTGCCGGGCAAACCCACATTCTCCAAGCTCTGGTTGAAATCGCCTCCGAAGCTCAAGGACTGCAAGCTGCCCGGCAAACCCACATTCTCCAAGCTCTGGTTGAAATCGCCTCCGAAGCTCAAGGACTGCAAGCTGCCGAGCAAACCCACATTCTCCAAGCTTTGGTTGAAACGATGTCCGAAGCTCAAGGACTGCAAGCTGCCAGGCAAGGCCACATTCTCCAAGCTCTGGTTGAAGTCGTTACCGAAGCTCAAGGACTGCAAGCTGCCGGGCAGGGCGACATTCTCCAAGCTCTGGTTGAAGAGATTTCCAAAGGTCAAGGACTGCAAATTCTTTGGCAGTTCGACATTCTCGAGACTGCAATCACTGTCGAACTCCAACGAAGAGATTGCGTCCTGTGCAAGTACGTCCATTCCACTCAGGCGCTGGCCGTCACTGGCTCGCAGAAACGCAGCTGCTGCGCGCCCTGCACCAACCTAGGCTGGCCCCGAGACCCTTCAATAAACCGTTCCAGACAAGGTTCTCTTGCACCCCAACAACCAAAGAAAGCATACAACACATGGCAAGGGCAACCTGTTGAACCACATACGTGATGACATCGCCCTGAACTTGCTCCAACAGCGGCTTGGAATCGTCCAGGGTATTGCCGCCAGCCGCCAGGACAAGCATGCCACCTAACCGCAAGCCTACCCTTCCTGCGACGCGCTTGCGCAAGTCCTCCACGGTCATGTTGTCTTCAAGAGGAAGCTGCATTTCGGAACCATGGAGACCGTACACCGTCAACTGTCGGCCGGCAACGAGGCCATCAGACTCGTCAAGGCGCTGACGTTTGACCTTCCTTTCTTCTTGAGTCCCACGACGCATGGCCCGAAATCCTGGTGCGAGGTCGTCCATGGGGCCTTGCGCCTTGGCTTGGGTGACCTTGGAGACGGAATGACCCTATACCTTGATAGAGGTTTTGGTAGCACAGGGCACAGGGTATCCAGCCCCAATGCTAGGCTGATCATGTCCCTAAGGGAGTTGATTTCCAAACGTCCGATGCAGCTGGGCAGGGATACAGATCCAAACTCTGGTTGACATTGAGGTCATGTGTCACCGTTCCGGCAACCCGAGCCCCCCGAATTCCCTATTCAGAATACCACGTTTGGCCTTTCGGATTGTGCGTACGGGTTCACTTCCAGCATGGTTACTGTTCGAGGTTTTAATGGGCTCACGTAGGACGGCATACGCTTGGAAGGTTTTTGTTGTTTGTAAGTGTTGAGAAGACATGAGGCTTGGTGTGTCAAAAGCGTCAGCTGCAACATGGCCACAGCAGCATGTTCAACCAAGCCAAAGCACCTACTCCTAAACCCTGAACCCTAAACCCTAAACCGAAACCCTAAACCCTAAACCCTAAACCCTAAACCCTAAACCCTAAACCCTAAACCCTAAACCCTAAACCCTGAACCCTCCGCAAGCCCTGCACCAAAAGCCCCACATTGTAAGGTGAACTCGCTCAAGTCCCTATGCGCCGAGAGACCCAAACATTAAAACCCTCATATCTTAGGGTAGTTACACTTGGCTGTACTTAGCAGGGTTTAGGGTTTAGGGTTCAGGGTTTCGGGTTTAGGGCCTTATTGAGAAACCCAATAAACCCAAAAAGGCTAAGGATCTAAAGTTACAGTAAAGCACCACAGAGTACATGGCCCCTTAGTATGGGCCCTGAAGGGCCCTGAAAGGGGCCTTCTAACAACCTTCAGAACTCTAAGGGACCATATTAGCGGCCCATGAAACTACCTTTAGAATTTACCCCACATAGGGTTTAGGGCTTATAGGGCTTAACCCTAAACCCTAAACCCACGAAACAGGGGACCCCCTCAGATACCCGCGAAATGTTCGAATCCTTACTATAGGAACCCCCCCCCCCCCCAACAAAAAAAACACACACACACACACATACCCAGTTTTGGGGGGAACCCCACGTGGCTAGAGGCGACGCTCTGAGGGTTTAGGGTTTGGTTCAGGGTTTTGGGGGTAGGACCAGGATCCTCGTGGGTCTCATACTCTAACTTGATTCCCCGAACTTTCGTTTGATGGGTTGCCCAAGAACCCTATAACAGGGCTTTGCAACAAGAAGCTGCAAAGCGTAGGAAGGCATTGCATGTAGCGTTACAGGGCTTGCGTAAGGAACGCCATGGGTGACGTCGAAGTTCGTGCATGCTACCAGCCTTAAACCCGAAACCCTCAACTCTAAACTTAAAAACTCTAAACCCTAAGACCTACCCCCCGCCCCGCCCACCACAAACCCCACACTTTCTTCCCGTCAATGAGTCAACCCATGGCTCCTGGGTCTACTCAAACTTAAGAACCCGAAGCCTTCTTCTTTACAAGTTTGCCAAAGCACCCTTAAATGCTCTGAACCCTAAACCCTAAACCCTTAACCCTGAAACCCTAAACCCCAAACCCTAAACCCTAAACCCCAAACCCAGAGCTCCTCGAGGAGAGGGCTTGGCACATTTCCTCCGGCAAGGCCTCAGCCAACTCGGCCCGCCTCTGCAAAGAGACTGGGGTTTAGGGTTTAGGGTTTGGGGTTTAGGGTTTAGGGGCTTTTATGGTTCAGGGTTCAGGGTTGAGGGCTGAGGGTTTCATGGTTTGGGGGTTTAGTTTAGGGGTTAGAAAGGTCGGGCTGAGGGTTTAGGGCTTAAAGACATCCGATTTGGGGGATTTGGGGGGGGGGGGGGGGGGGCGAAAATAAAGGACCCCTAATATGGACCCCACATAGTAAGAAGGACCCCCACAAGGTCCCCCCCCCCCCAAATTTCGGAAACCCCCATTTAGGGTGTAGGGAGTGGGGTTTAGGGTTTAAGGGTTCAGAGTACGGAAATAGAGAATGTTTAGGTTCCCTCTGTGTCGGCTCAGAGTACACAACCAGGGCTTAGGGTTTGGAATGATTTACGCATTCAGGGCTTAGGAAACTCTCTAAACCCCACAGCTAAACCCTTCAGGACTTAGGACTTGAGTTAAGAGGCTTGAAATCCGAAACCCTAAACCGTAAGCCCTGCTTCCTTGGGCTCGTTTAAGCAACGTCTAAACCTTCCAAAAACCCCACACCCCCCCCCCCCCCCAACGCAACTCCCGAGCCTGCTTCTAATCGTTTTGACGAACCCTGCAGGAATCACCACTGGTGTTAGTAGGTCAACAGAACAAGAAACTATGACAAGGATCACCCCAGTTCTATTTGCGAAAGGCTTAGGGTTTAGGGTTTAGCTTTCAGGGTTCAGGGTTTAGGGTTTCGGGTTTAGGGTCAGGCTGAGGGTTGGGGGGGGGGGGGGGGGGACGGGGAGGGTCACAGCGTTTGGGCTTATGGTCTCCTGCGGTTCAGGGCTTCGGGGGCTTGAGGGCTTCAAGGATCCAACTCCTGAACCCTTTCCACCCCTCGCCCCCCCCCAAACCCTAAACCCTAAACCCTAAACCCTAAACCCTAAACCCTCATGCTCCAACCGCTGCAAAAGTCGGAGGCTTCCGAAGCCTGAAACCATCAACCTTCAGCCCAAAAGGCTTGCAATAACCGTATACGCAACCCTTCAACCATGAGAGGGTTTAGGGTTTAGGGTTTAGGGTTTAGAGTTTAGGGTTTAGGGTTTAGGGTTTAGGCTTCTGGGCCTTGGTTCGTTGCTTTGAGGCTTTGGCTTATCAAGGGACGAAAAGGAGGGAACCTTAGGGGTTATTTAGGGGTTATTGGGGGGGCTACTTCGGTTTGTAGGGACTATATAAGGTATATAAAAAGGGTTTTACAGGGGGAATAAGATCCTAAACCCTAAACCCTAAACCCTAAACCCTAAACCCTAAACCCTTCTAGGGGTCTCTCCTTCCCTCCTTCCACCCCTTAAGTTGAAGGTTTCACCAGGGGAACTAAGTAATCATTCAAGATTGGGCCTAAAAAACAAACTGAAATCCTGAAAATTCAAAAAACCCTAAAAACCCTGAAAACAAAACATACCTAAAACCCTTGATAAAGAACTCTAAAAACCCTTGAAGCCCTACCCCCCCCCCCCCCCAAATAAAAAAAACTAACTAAACCCTAACAACCCTAAGCATGCATATATATATATATATATTTATTTATTTTTTATTTATATTTTTATTTATTTATCGATTCTTCATTTATATACATAAAGGGAAGCTGGGAGCTGCCTGTCATCGCCCAGCCGATCCCACATCCTGAGTTGCGCTTTCGCGTCTATGGCGTAAGCTTGTGAACCCTAAACTGGCGTATGTTTAGGGTTTAGAGTTCAGGGTTTAGGGTTTAGGGTTGAGGGTTTAGGCCTAAACCCGAAAAAGACACCCAGCATGTATACACTCACTATAACTCCTAGGCGAACATTGACCAACATCACCACAACATCTTAAGCCTTACAGCCCTTATATTGAAAGCCAAACTACACCATAAACTCTAAACCCTAAACCCTAAACCCTAAACCCTAAACCCTAAACCCTAAACCCCAAACCCCCAACCCTAAACCCTAAACCCTAAACCGGAACAGAATTTACAGAAATGACCATGTCCCAAAGCACAGCCCAGCCACGTCATGACCGCGAGTTCGGCCATGTCGGCAAGCTGGTCGCTAACAAACGACCACTGTCCTTGCCTTCAAGGAAAGAGTCTAAACCCTAAACCCTAAACCCTAAACCCTAAACCCTAAACCCTAAACCCTAAACCTTGAACCCTGAACCCTAAGCCACCTTAAAGAGGGCTCGTGGGGTGCAGTCTTGCGTCTTGAGCACCTTCAGCATTCGGTGCTCGAGGGGTTGGGCTTGGAGGCCCTATAGGAATTCAAGGGTTTAGGGTTTAGGGTTCAGGGTTTAGGGTTTAGGGCTCAGGGCTTAGGGTTTAGGGTTTAGGGCTCAGGGCTTAGGGTTGAGGACAGGACCATTTGGCCATTCTTACCCCAAGCTTTGCAACCCAATCGTCCATATGGAGTAGGGTTTCTATTCCTTATTTCCCCAAAAGACACCCCATATTCATACATAAATATACACGCACACCAGTATGTACAAGGGACCCTAACTGCATTCACCAATAGCAGTAGTTCACAAAGCATAATTACTTCATGTGTTGAGAGCCGGGACAGTTAACCAAAACAGAACCCCTGAACCCTAAATCTCAAACCCAAAAACTTAAATCCGAACTTTCTGACCCAAGCATGGCAATGCAATAGTCCTGATATGTCTATCTTCAACCTACACTCCCTGAACTCGGTCTAGCCTCCGAATTCCCCAAGCCACCTAAGCCCCCAAACCCTAAACCCCTGAAACCCCCCCCCCCCCCAACACCGCACCCATACCCTCAACACTAAATCCTAACCCTAAACCCTAAACCCTAAACCCTAAATCCTAAACCCTAACCCCGAAACCCGCAACTGCCTGGCGACGAAGGAGACTCGCAGCAGCTCGCAGGCGAATCGCTGCACCTTCTCAGGTACCGGCACCTCCAGCTGCAAAGGGTTTAGGGTTTAGGGTTTAAGGTTTAGGGTTTAGGGTTCAGGGTTTAGGGTTGAAAACCAAAGGCAAGCGGTTCAGGTCGGGATGTTCCTTGTACTAAGAGACTAAGAGTCCTGAATAGGGATTCTACTACGGAGGGGCGGGGGGGTACTAGAGTCCCCATTAAGGACGGTTAGAAAAAGGGGTAAGATCCCAAGTTTAAGGTGAACAGTGTAGGGTTTAGGGTTCAGGGCTTCGGATTTAGGACTCAAGGTCGTAAACCCTAAACCCTAAACCCCATAATGACCCTAAACACTATGGTGTTCAACATCGAGCAGGAAGAGAGTAAAGCCTCAGGGATTACATAGGAGCTTTTGGGTTTCAGGTGCTTACGGCCTTTTTGAAAGGTGCTGAACCCCTTACCCCCTCACATCCTAAACCCCATACCCTGAATTACCCTACCTTAAAATCACGCTATACCCTAAACCCTCAAACCCCAAACCATGCCAATCAGGGACATCTAGCCTTGATTACCCTATACCTACAACCCTCAAACCCTAAACCCTAAACTACCCTGAATTACCCTAAGTTACCCTAAACCCTAAACCTAAACCCTGAACCCTAAACCCTAAACCCTAAACCCTAAACCCTAAACCCTAAATGCCGGTCAGGGGGCCCTCCGAGGCGGACATGCCAGCAGAGACTGGATGTGGTTGCTCAGCGCCTGGATGAGGCGAGGCAGATCCTCGGCCGCCAAGGGGAGAGCGTAGGGTTTAGGGTTTAGGGTTTAGGGTTTAGGGTTTAGGGTCTAGGGTTTAGGGTTTAGGGTTTAGGGTTTAGGGTTTAGGGTCTAGGGTTTAGGGTTTAGGGGTTTAGGGCTTTACCTGTGTTTGGTGGCAAGTTCTGAACTCTGTGGCTCAGGATCCACCCAGGCCGCGAAGAAGAAGGCGTCCAGCAGGACGGCCGGGTCCTCTGGCTGGCGCTTGAGTAGGAGGGTTTAGGGTTTAGGGTTTAGGGTTTAGGGTTAGGGTTTAGGGTTTAGGGTTTAGGGCGTAGGGCTTAGGGTTTAGGGTTTAGGGTTTAGGGTTGGGAATGAGGGGATGAGGTGAGGGAATGAGGTACCCTACATAATCACTTAAAAGGGTTTGGGGTCTGGGGTTTGCCCCAACCCTAAACCCTAAACCCTAAACCCCAAACCCTAAACCCTAAACCCTAAACCCTAAACCCTAGACCCTAGACCCTAGACCCTACTAAGAATCAGGTCCTCGGAGAACTCGGAGGAGTCGCTGTAGAAGGCGCGGGCCAAGACCAGCCGCACGGCCTCTTCGCGTGGCCTGCTGTTGGGTTTAGGGTTTAGGGTTTAGGGTTTCGGGTTTGGGGTTTGGGGTTTGGGGTTTGGGGTTTGGGGTTTGGGGTTTGGGCTTTAGGGTTTAGGGTTTAGGGATAAAACGATGTGTAGAAGTAAACAAACATTCATCCATGTTTGCTTGGTGCTGTATTTATTGACAGTACTTATTTCATGTCTAAGTGCAATATACATATTCCCTTCCAGGTGCGATGACTACATGCCTAACCAGCCCTAGAAGCTACGGGTGTAGGGTTCTGTTCGCCGACGGGACATGAATAGCATTCGGAACGGCGGGGGACTCTCCTGTTGCCTAGGGTGAAAATGATCATCTTCTACACTCCCGGCAGTTTTCGAGGTGAGTTGCACACAACCACTCGGAAAAGCCCTGCGTTCCGTAATTCCGAACCCAGCGCGCCCCAAAGCCTAAACCCCCAAAAGCGCCAAAGAACTGACTAAGCGTTACTTCTCCAATAACCGAGGGACAAAAAGGTGAAGCTTTAGTATTCCTACTTAGCAAGGAAACCCTAAAAAGTTTGAAGTTCAAGTACTAGCTAAGTAACCCTAAGGGTCCATGTACCTGCATAGTCTCTACCACATATAGGTACATGGACCCTTTGAAACCCTAAACGCTAAACCCTAAACCCTAAACCCTAAACCCTAAACCCTAAACCCTAAACCCGCCCAGTGGCACAGGGCTCTGCACTGTCGGCACCCCATCCTCGCTGCTCGAAGTCCATCGCTGGAACTTGGCAGACATGGGGTTCTCCTGGGCTTTCACACAAGCCCTAAACCCTAAACCCTAAACCCTAAACCCTAAACCCTAAACCCTAAACCCTAAACCCTATCAGCCATAGGCCTCTCCGGCCTTTTCACAGGGCAACCTTCCGGATGGGTTCATGTTTTGGGGTTTGGGGGGTTTTTGGGGGTTTGGGTTTTCGGCTTTTTCTGGAGGTTTAGGGTTGAGGTTGCGGGGTTTCGGCAGACATTCTTTCACCTTTATACAGTCCCCAAATACGCTGGAGCAACTTGACCTGCAACCTCGAAACCGTACAGGGCTTGAGTTTAAGGGCTAGGGGTTTAAGGGTTTAAGGGTTAAGGGTTCAGGGTTTAAGGGTTAAGGGTTCAGGGTTTAAGGGTTAAGGGGTTTAAGGGTTGAGGGTCAAAAAAGAAGGGTTTGGGGTTAGAGTACAAGCAGGTGCTGGCTTTGAAATGCGAGCATTTTCAAAAGGACATCAGGTATACTCTACAGACCCTGTACTGTGTACCCGACTCTATATGGCGCAGTTCTGAAAATTCTGGGTCCCCTGTATACATCACCCTTGCCGTAAGGGCCCAAACTGAGAGAACTCCCCATACACGCAAGCAGCATGCTGTGCTGACAAAACCCTAAACCCTAAACCCGAAACCTTAACCCTAAACCCTAAACCCTAAACCCTAAGCCCTAAACCCTAAACCCTAAGCCCTAAACCCTAAACCCTAAACCCTAAACCCTAAACCCTAAACCCTACTCCATTCTATACCCAAGCCGCCAGCTCACACAGGAGGACTCGGTGCACCGCGATGCGCCAGGAGCCGTCCGGAGCGACCACAGCCGCATCGCCTGAGTTGTGCTTGAAAACCCTTTGAAAGGTTTAGGGTTTAGGGTTTAGGGTATAGGGTTTAGGGTTTAGGGTTTAAGGTTTAGGGTTTAGGGTTTAGGGTTTAGGGAGGTTCCCTTTATCGGAAAGAGAGGAAACTAAAAGTTATCCCAAAGCACAACCCAGTCGCTGGCCATGCCCGTCCGCAGCAAGTTCGGGAAGTGCTCCTTCGGAGGCGGTTTAGGGGCTTAGGGTTTAGGGTTTATATAGACTTTAGTTTAGGGCTAGTGTTTAGGGTCTAGGATTTAGACGTTATAAGTGCTCCTTCGGAAACGGATTTCATCTTCTTTTAGGGGGCGTTCCGAAAGTGGGGGGGGGGGGGGAGAGCCTTATGTACACCGAAAATACGATACTCCCCGAAGGACCCCCCAACAAGGGTATTTTCCAACCTCCAGGACCTACTATGCGGGTCACTAGGGCTCTCAAAACCCTAAGCCCTAAGCCCCAAACCTGAAACCTAACAGCCTAAATAGAAATGAAGGCAGCGCACGTGCTGACAGGCTGGGGAAGGCACTCCAACAACAAATCGAAACCACTCAACCAAAACCCTAAACACTGTACACCCTGAACCTTGAACCCTGCCCTTGGCCCTAAACTCTACACCCCCCCAAAACCCTAATTCAAACCCTGAACTCTACACCCTAGACCTTGAACCCTACACTTGGCCCTAAACTCTACACCCCAAACCCTAAACCTTAAACGCTACACCCTAAACCCAAAGCAGAGATCAGCCTTGAAATCGTCACCGCCTCGGGTCCTTGATCGAGAGCCCTGTGGGCTTCTGATGTATCGGGTAAAGGCAGCACCTTGAAGCCCTAAACCCCTCAAACCCTAAACCCCTAAACCCCTAAATCCTAAACCCCTAAACCCCTAAACCCCTAAACCCCTAAACCCCTAAACTCCTATACCCCCCCCACCCACCCCCTAAACCCCTAAACTCCTATACCCCCCTAAACCCCTAAACCCCTAAACCCCTAAACCCCTAAACCCCTAAACCCCTAAACCCCTAAACCCCTAAACCCTAAACCCTAGACCCGAAAACCCCAAAACCCCTAAACCCCTAAAGCCCCTAAACCCCAAAACCCCTAAACCCCTGAACCCCTAAACCCCTAAGCCCCTAAACTCCTCAACCCCTAAGCCCCTAAACTCCTAAACCCCTCAACCCCTTAACTCCTGTGGCGTGGCGAGGCCCTGGATCAGTTCCCAGAAGTGAGGGTCTCGGCGGCTCTGAAAACGATTCGGTGGATCAGCGCAAGCCGGGTCTACCTGCCCAGGAGCTCCGAACAGTTTTACTAAATATATACACATACAGTTTTATTGTTGTTGTTGTTTTTTCCATTTCTTGTTTTTGTATCTTATATATGTATATATATACACTGTTTTTTGGGCGGGAGGGGGGCGGTGGTTTCGGGTCTGGGGCTTAAGAGGATGTAGGATTTGGAAGGTCGAGGGTTGAGGTTCTTCATTTCCTGGTTTGTCCTGTTTTCTTGTTTTTTTTTGGGGGGGGGCGGGGGGGGGGGGGGGGGGTTGAGCTCAGGGGTGGCAGCAGTGTACTCACACCAACAGCAGGCAAACACAATTCTGCCCTGAGGTGTTAGGGTTTAGGGTTCACCCGACTGGCTAAGCCCTAAACCCTAAGCCCTAAACCCTAAACCCTGAACCCTGAACCCTAAACCCTAAACCCTGAACCCTAACCCCTGACCCCTAACCCTAAACCCTAATCCTAAACCCTAAACCCTAAACCCGAATCCTAAACCCTAAACCCTTTAAACTCTACACCCTACCCAAACCAGGGAACACTTTAGAGCACCTGGGGTTTGCTTGAAGCCCTTTTTCTGTGACTTAGTAGGTAGGGTTAATAAGGTGGGTATGGGAATTATAAGAGGGTTTAGGGTTTAGGGCTTAGGGCTTAGGGTTTAAAGTTTAGGGTTTAAGGGATACTGAGTAGACTTACAAAGTCAAAGGAGCTTCCAAGTAGGGTTGAGGGCCTGTACGTCAGTCCAAGAATGCCCAGGGCAGGGCAGCCTTGTGGCTGAGGGGGCGGCTGAGAGTTTGGGAGAGTTGTGTGGGTTTGCGTTCCCCCCGCCGTGCACCCTAAAACACTAAAACCCTAAACACTAAAACCCTAAACCCTAAACCCTAAACCCCAAACCCTAAACCCCCCCCAACCCTGCCTCCTCTAGGGAGCCCCAGGGCTGCTGGCGGTCGGCCTGGTGCGTGCCCTCTACCCGGAGGTTCGTGGTACTTAATTAGCCAGTTAGAACTGTTTAGGGTTTAGGGTTTAGGGTTTAGGGTTTAGGGTTTAGGGTTTAGGGTGGAGGGTGTAGGGTTTAGGGTTTAGGGTTTCGGGTTTAGGGTTGTAACTGTACTTATATACCTGTACTGATAACAGCATTGGAGCACTTCAATGGCCTTATAAGTGGGTGGTAGGTACAGTTATGTTTTTTAAGTACCATGAACCTCCAAGTCGCCCAGAGCACCGCACAGTGCTCTAGTGAAGTGTAGGGTTTAGGGTTTAGGGTTTAGGGTTTAGGGTTTAGGGGTTCAGGGTATAGGGTATAGGGTTCAGGGTTTAGGGTGTAGGGTATAGGGTTCAGGGTTTATCGGACATCGGTTTAGGGTTTAGGGCTTGAGGTTTCGGGTTCAGGGCTTCCATGGACCTAGCTATTGTGTTTAAGGGTTCTAGGGTTTAGGGTTTAGGGTTCAAGGAGCCTAGTTCTTGGTTTCAAGCTTCGGCCCTTAAACCACACACACAGACACACCATGAAGGCTACCACAGGGTGTCGAGGGGGGACGGGCCAGCAACTTTAAACCCTAAACCGGCCCGAGACCCAAAACCCGAAACCCGAAACCCTAAACCCTGAACCCTAAACCCTTCATTATTCTGGGAACTTCGGGGAGCTTATGGGGTCAAATCATGTAAGGTTCTGATTTAGGATTTTCGGGATTACGGCCGGTTTAGGGTCTGGGGTTTAGGGCCGGTTTAGGTGCCGGGTTGGCGTGTAATTAGGGGTTAGAGTTTAGGGTTTAGGGTTTAGGGCCGGTTTAGGGTTTAGGGTCTAGCGTTTTTAGCGGGGTTTGGGTTGCTTGGTTTTCCTTCCAAGGGGTTCTGAGTACACTCGGTAGGTGGGAGTTGGGTTTGGGGGGTTTGGGGTTTGGGGTTTGGGGTTTGGGGGGTTTAGGGTTTAGGGTTTGGGGTTTGGGGTTTAGGGTTAGGGTTTGGTTTAGGGTTTAGGGTTTAGGGTTTAGGGTTTAGGGTTTAGGGTTTAGGGTTTAGGGTTTAGGGTTTAGGGTTTAGGGTTTAGGGTTTAGGGCTACAGTTGCACTAAGCCGGTACTTCTTCTCTCTGCAAGCACAAGAAAGGCCTTGCCTCGGCCTCTGGCTGCATGGGCGCCGTGGGTGCACCCATCTCCTTTCCGGCTACACTCAAGGGTTTAGGGTTTAGGGTTTAGGGCTTAGGGCTTAGGGCTTAGGGTTTTGGGTAACGGACGGGCTCTTATAAGGGACCTTAGGGGTTATTTAGGGGTTATGTGGGGGCTACTTAAGCGTATATACGGACTATATGAGGAATTCACATATATATATATATATATACAGATAAACTACATAGACAGACATATATATATATATATATTCATATATATATATATGCTCACCCCCCCCCAATGGACCCACCGCGCATGGCAGCCGAGTCCTAGCCAGATCAAGGCAAAAAACAACAAAATAAGAATTGACAAAAACCAACAAACCAAAAACATCCAAGAAACCAAAAAAACCAAAAAAACCAAAAAAACCATCTTTTCCAAAACTATGGGGCTGGGGCCTCCAAAAGATGGTTTTTTTGGTTTTCTCGAGAAAAAGATGGTTTTTTTGGTTCGAAACCATCTTTTTCTCGAGAAAAAGATGGTTTTTGAGCAGCCGCTCTTCTAAAAACCATCTTTTTCTCGAGAAAAAAATGGTTTTACCAGGACAAGACCTCCAAAAACCATCTTTTTCTCGAGAAAAAGATGGTTTTACCAGGACAAGACCTCCAAAAACCATCTTTTTCTCGAGAAAAAGATGGTTTTTCCAGGACAAGATCTCCAAAAACCATCTTTTTC